GTTTATGTTTATGTATATGTATGTATGTCTCTTCTTTCTCTTGCTTGAACACCTGATGGGGATGGCAGTGTTGATTTCACGTTCTCATGCAAAAGCAAAGAAAAATTCATTGGTATCAGTTTTACGGCCCTCAAGAAATCAATATTTTATCGGGATTAAAACAGTACAGTTGATATGTCGATAATGAAATCTACAACAGAAACAACATGTGACTATTGTGACCGCATAGAATATATATACAATTATCCCTGTTCAAAAATGAATTTTACCTACACTTAAAGGAATGCAAAGCTTGAACTCGGCGTGTAAAATACTTTGTCTTAACACGGCACATGAAGTCCTTAAGAAATGCAATCAGCTTCTCAAGAATCCAATAGGTGTTACAGCAACAAAAACAAAAAAGTCACAGTTTCGGCATACCATATCACCATGCCTCACCGAAGGTACCCACCATGAGAACTTCAACTCGCTGGGATATTATCATCAGAAGACGTGAAGTCGATCGACAGGGATAGCCAGGAAGAATCTTGTCACGTTGTCTATTGTAGGAACACGGCCACTAATCAGTTTAAATATATCGATATATTTAAACAATTAAATACAAGTTTCATTTCCAATAATAAGGTATTTTAAATTCACTTCGATGGCTTTTATAGCCTAAATTTTAGTATGTTTCATATACTTGGCTCTATTTTTGAGACATTGGTAGACTAGGAAATTATATACTAGAATACTCGGTTTCTGAACTACTCCTTTGGACCTGGACCTTCCGCCCATCTCCAGAATACGAGAAGTCTATATATTTTTTAAGCTTTTCTTCAGATTGATCTTTCATCTCTGATTGCTAATGTATTATCGTGGTTCATATACTTTCGCAAATCGACAACGATGGCAGGCGAACTATGAACCCTTTGCACTTCTAGTGTAAATGATCAATAACGTTGCCAGAAGTACGTTCTGTATGATTGAGGTTTATAAGGATTTATCAAGAAACAACCCCGATTATTCTTACACAAGCTATCACTGTTCAATCCTAACTTTCTTATCTTAATTCGCCGTATTTTAAATTATAGTAGAACTAGTTTACAAAATCGTCTTTAAAAAAACAGATGAATGCAAACATTGAGTTGTCCATCGATGCAAACTGTTTTGAGGGTTTGCTACCAGTAGTTCAAACCCAAACTAAACAACCCATCATTGATGTCTATGAAACAGTGAACCTTCAAGCACTTCCAGTGCTATCAATACAGGTGATCATTCCGGTTGTATTGACAGCACTGAAAGTCAAAATTCCAAATACCAGCGCGAAAACTGTTGTCAAAGGTCTGAACACTAAAAAGTGTTGACACTTTCGAAAGTTCAAATATTCTTGTTCACACAATTCAATCATTGACATCTCAGTTTACTAACGATACAAAAGCACTCGAATCTCTTCAGTACGATCTCATATTTGAACCGCTGCATCAAATCAAGCTCACGCGACATTATCAATTTACACAGAACTCTTGCTTCAAATTTGAGAAAAGTACTATATGAGACTACTGGCATGCCTTGAACAACTTGAAACCCTACAACGAAAATGCGAGATAGAAAGATTGCTAGCACAAGGTCGATAGCAAACTGTAGAATAGTAACGTAGAACCACAGAAGTAAACACTAAATATAGTTCACGTGGTACGATCAACATGCCGTGAAAACATCGACAAAGTCACTGACGGGCAGCACAAAACTACGGACTATATCGTAGTAAGTCCGGTTCAATTGGTGGTAGATAAGGGCCCACAAGAATACGCCTTAGCAGGCTACTGATTTAAGCAAGGTAGCCGGAATTAAAAGTCTTATCCCCGGGGCATACTGGAAAACTGTATTCACCAGTACGACAATAGCAAATCAATTTAAACACGAACGTTGTGTTGGTTGTCATCGTACATTGCAGAGAGTTTTGGGAATGCAGTGCCTGTTATGATGGCTGCTGCTTGAATTTGTGCTAAGTTGTACAGATCGTACAGTGGCTTCAACGCGGCATGCCAAATAGGTGGAGCTCATGCACTGATGTTCAAACTATAGGTGGTCGCTGAAAGAATGAATGTCTTGATTAGTGCCAACCGATTTCGCGGATGGCGCCAGCTGAATCCATGAAACCCATACGCCCGGAAGGACACTAAAGTCTGGAGTAATGCTGCCACGAGATGGTCCATGAGCTATACAAAGTCAATGCTGTCCGGTACGCCCTGGGACAGTTGAAATCCTAAGTATTCGGAAGGTTGTGAATAGATGTCAGAGAGTTCCGCCACCATGGGCATGAGAAGGTAAAGTAGGTGTCTGTTTTGAGTGTTCGCATTTGGGGAACTACTAGTGTTGGTTTTATATGATGTCCTTTGATACGGAGAGACGGTACCCCAAGCACTGTATTCGACGATTTTGTTTCGGGCTAAAGAATCCCTTGTTCTAGACCGGATTGGCGACCCCATGTTATCATCAATCGTGTTCAGAAGGGTTGTAGCCATACAGACTGCGGAGCCTGAATGCGCGTTTCATCTACAAAGAGATAGGAACGGAAGTTTTCCGGCCGAAATCGTGCAAGCGTAGTAAACAGGGTATCTATATATATATATATATATATATATATATATATATATATATATATATATATATATATATATATATATATATATATATATATATATAGTAGTAGTAGTACGTA